CGGTTGTAGTGGATCTGGATCACTCTTCCCATCGGCCTTCGGCAACTCCAAAGGAATGTCCACATCCTTGTATCCCTCAAGCCTCGGCATACAGTATGAACCCACAAGTGCATAGCGGTACTTGCCATCAGCGTCGATTCCTCTGGTCCTGAACGGACCCGCCACATCAACACTCAGAACATGAGCCGAAGGATTCAAAACCTTTCGGTGTGGCCTCCCGGAGCCAGCATTCACAACGCAGGTTCGGCACCTTTTGTTGAACGGGACATGTCCATCCCGAACATGCTTGGCCCATTGCTTGAGCTCTTTCTCGGACATGTCCTCCAAACGTCCCTCCATTTTGCAAAGAAGCTGGGCCTGACGTACTTGATCTGGCCACTTGTTCCATTCCAGCATCCCATCGCGCACTGCCCTTAGCAAGCTTGTTGTCCATTTGGTAGATACTCCCTTCTCAACCCTGGGCTCCTTGACATGGTTGACAAAGTTCATATTTGTTGCGGCGTGGAACACTTGGCCCTGGCCTGCCTCCAAGCTCACATGGGACAGCTGATACTCATCCCGGAAATTCCTCCACTCATCTGACTTCCACCAAGCCATCTCACCGGGGTACTCCATAAAGAGGAAGGGCTTCTTGAGGTTGTTGACCGCTGCTCCTTTTTCAGCCACCATCCAAGTGTACATCAGCTTCCTCCTGAGCTCATCACCTTCTCTTCGGGGAGGTCCTCCAAGGATGCCTTCCAGCTGTCCCCGGCATCCCGCCCACATTAGGGCCCGAAGAACATTGTTCCAGCCCTTCAGGTTGTACATCTTGGACCGCTGTAAGTCAATCTCCAAGACCACGATGTCCTCAGTTTCGAACTTCTTCAACTCATGGGAGGCGGTCTCATTTTTTCCATCGTAGAGATGAACAATCCATCGTGACCCATGGAGCCTTCTCCTGAACTTCCGGTTCACGGGTAGCGACTTCAAGTACCCAAAGCCTGCGTCATCGCTCAAGTTGATGTCCTCGGAGCCCACAAAGCTGAACCTATCCGTCACGGTTTCCAGATTGAGTGGAAAGCTGGGATCCATCATGGCCGCCAGAGCGCTGCTTCTCCTTCCTGTTTCCACATAGGCCTCCAAGTATGCACTCCAAGGGAGTGGGGAAGAAGAGGAGGAGGTGGTCCACAGACTCCTCATTGTAGTCTGTTGCAACCTCTCCAAATTCTTATCTTCAATCTCCGCGATAAGCTTCAAGGCTTCGAGTTCAGAGATGTAAGGACATGTCCCTCGCATCTTCACTTGAAGGTCACCGTGCTCAGGATGAACAACGCGAAGACCTTGGCGTTTTGACCAGCTTATTGAGCATCCCAGCTGCTGCACCAGCGCCCCAAGAGGCACTATTGGCGCTTGTGTGGTTTCACTCTTTGCCTTGAGCAATGTTCCGGTGTTCGTCTGCTTCAACTCCACCATTTGGCCGTCCGCTAACTCCACGCCAACGTTGTTCGCCGCCTCAAGCTCATTTGTATCCACCGGACTGCGAAAGGGGTGGGACGCACCCGAATCTAGAAGAGCCAATCCATGCTGGTCCATTCCGGCAGACCTCAGCAGAAGTTCCAGGTCCTCGGCGGCCTTGTTAGTGTCCTCCACCTTCATTGTCATCAGCTGGATTTTGCTCAGCATGGAGCTTGCTTCACGCAGTAACTTCTTCATTTCCTCACGCTGCGTCGCCGCCTCAGTTGCCGCCATAGATGCCGAAGACGATGATGATGCGGCTTCTGGTTGTGCTTGCGCCCCAGCCGTCCCGGTCTCCGCCGGTGGCTGTTGAACCTGCGCAGCACTTGCAGTCGCCACTGTAGCCGTCGCTGACGTAGACTGTCCCCCAGTAGACTTGCCACCTCCTTTCGCTCCTCCCCCAGTGGTTGTTGGGCATTCTTGTTGTCGGTGCCCCGTGGCTCCACAGGACCAGCACCGCTGCTTTCGATCAGCCCTGGAGGCAAACTCATGGGTGTATGTGCAGCTGGCTCCCCTCTTGCATCCATTCTCCGACTGAAAAAACTTACACGGGCCCTTTCCTCGCTTGGGAGATCCACTCGGAGTTCCTGACCCTCCTGTTCCTTGGCCGGTGTTCGAGGCTGTTGTAGCTCCCTTCAGCTTGGCGTGGTCCGGCTTGTTGTTGGGAATGGCCTGTTGTAGCTCCGCCAAAAGGTGCTGGTAGTACTTCAAGACCGTCTCTGCCGTAGGTGACGAAGCCAATCTGAGTTCATTCTTTGCCAAGGCCAACCTGAACTTCACATCCGGGAGCCTTTCAAGGGCCTTGAAGGTTATGGCTTCCAATCCCTTGAGCTGCAGGCTAGCGTCTGGTAGCGCGATTGCCATCTCCTCAGCTCTTGCGAGATGCCTTCGCCATCGTCTGAGCTGAGCCACAACCTCACCAGGATCTTCAGGTCCCACAGTGCCCTCCAGGTGCTTCAAGATTGCTGTGCGCTCCAAAGCGCCACCTGGCTGGTAGATCACATGAAGTCTATAAAGGACACCCGCCACGGACTCTATGCGGTGTGTGATGGTGTCCTCCTTCACCGCCCTTGGCATTGCCGCCAAAAGGAGCGAAAGAACACGACGCTCCAGACGAAACCACTTCGGGTCCTTCAAAGAGTCAGTGAGGTCAGGGCTTATGCTGAGCCGCTCGAGCGCTGACGCATTCTGGTACTTGACATAGGCCTCTCTTGCACACTGAAGGCACTGACCAAACCAAGCACTTGCATTATCCGTCAAGGCGCCTAGCATCTGCTCGGTGACATACATCCAATCATTGAACTCCACCGCTGCATCACCGGGCTCTGGCATCTTTTGCAACTCAACACTTCCCTTTACGGCCTCCGCCTCCGAGTGGTCCTTCTTGTTCATCTGAAGCTGTTGCAGCTGTCTCATTCCCTGCACCAACAAAT